GAGGTCCTAAGAGAATTTTCTAGGAATAACAATACCTACATCTAAGAAAATCGTACAATGAAAGTAATAAGGGAAGCTCAACAAAGCTTATTTTTCTCAGTTTCAGAAAGCTTAGAAATTCAGATTATTAAAGGAGGGGAGACAGCAAAAATTTCGGGGGACAGTTCGGGGGACGAAATCGCGCCGCGCTTATGTAGTCCATCGGTCGTCAGGCGCCTTCGCGCCCCCCGTAGCTCGGCCGGTAGCAGGGAAATCACCTTTGAACGCGGCATTAGTGATAAATTATCAAAAATCCAAAATTTTATTGTCATTACAAAACAAAGTGCAAATACATTAGTAAATTTTGAAAGTTTAGGGTTAGTTACATACATATATTGAAAGAAACTAAAAAGATCAGGTTCGGAATTGATATCTTGATTAGTGTGTAGCGTTGATGAGAAAGTGAGAAAGGGAAAAAAGGAACAAAGAGAATCACACAAATCGAGTTCCAGCACTTCGTCCCGGCTGCACCACACTTCCAGATTGAGCGTCGGTGTTGAGTGAGTGTTGAGTCTCTCCACGCTTTCCGCGTCCAAAGATCTTCATGAAGAAGCCTGTAATTCGGAGGATTTACATACGATTTAAATAGATAGTTCAGAAATTTCTATGTACATTCTTGGCAGTCACTAGAATATGTATATAGCACTCTTGATTTGTTTAGGCCTTGGTCTAGATAATGATTTAGCTATAAGATAACGTTGGATAGGTGGAAAGATATCCAGGGTATAGCCTGAAGTATAAGAGATTTTTGAAATTCAAAACATTCAAGTTTCAGCTAAATATTCTATATGTTATTCTTCAGAAGGTCTTACCCTGGATAGCATGTCTGTAGCACTTGATGATGATCATATTGGGGAGAGGGTCAATAGCTGGGTACAGGGCGATTGTGTACCCAACGAATTCAGTGGTGAATGGGAGCTCCCAGATAACCATTGGGAAGAAGAATAGGATTCCAATTGGGATGTACATAAGGACCAGTGGGATGAAAGTTTGGACGACAAGGGCATGGAAAAGTTGGGTTTGGAGGTTTTTCGTAGTAGCAGAGACAGCTGCCGATTGGTTGATGGTTTTGCGGATTTGCCAGTAGCAACGAATGCCAAAGTAGAAGACGGAGAACATGGAGGAGATCTGGAGAAAAATGGTTTTATAGGTGTGGTTGATGCAGATGCGCTCTTTCGGAATCAGACGCCATAAGCAAAACAAAAGATAATTAGTAATTTCGGTAGAGCGCCCTTGATCGCTTCTAACTTACAATCATGTACCACATACAACCGATAGCGAAGAAAATCTTTGGATCAGGATGTGGTTTTCCATCGGCGCCAGTTGGTTGAAAATAGACGATGATGTAGGATGAGTCCTTGATTGGAATACCGTAATGGTATTCGATGGTTTCCCTGAAAATATCATAAAAATTGAAACATTTTTCGTGTCTCCGAAGTGTGTTAAATAAAAAGATATACAGCAGTTTAGCTTATTCCAACTGTTATGGGATTTGTTCAGGTTTGGTGTTTCAATAATCTTACAACCTATAACTTTTAAAAATTCAATAGTCAACATCCGCATTTGGGTTCAAGCCAACTGGTCAGAAATCGCGCCCCGGNNAACGCGAAATNCTACAAAAAATTCACTGCTGAATGATGTGGCTGAGGATCAAACTTTTAAACGTTACTAGTTGCAACTTGTTGATTAAAATTAATTAGGTCAAATCCACGTCAACTTTGAAATTATTAAATTTCTTCTGGCCTAAAAGTTATTTGGGGCGCGTTTTTTGACCTGTTGGCTTGAACCCAAGTGCATCCACTTACCGTTTTCTATCGAAAAACATTGAAGTTAAGTTTCAATGATCAATAACTCTGAATATGTATTCAACTATACCAGGAACACATCCAAACCCCCTTGGGTCCCAATCTATTCATTCCCTTCTCATTCTTACAATGTGACATAGTATCGTGAATGAAGAATTTTAATTGCCTGAACCCTCTGATTACCTATGCAGCTCTACCATTTTTCTCAAGGGCGCCTGATGAATGAATAATCCTAAGGATTGCTAGACACCCCTCCCCATTCTTAATCTGAAATAAACCCACTTCATGTAAGCGTCGGTGATATCGGTGTAGTAGAAATAGATATAGCACAGGACCGCCCACCAGGTACCGTACCACAATGGAATGGCGAACAACATGTACACCCAGTTGCCAGGTAGGAAGCGTTCCGAGAAGGATCTGGAAAAATCGAAAAACAAAAATTTTGATATCTGTTTCACAAACTCTTTAACTGACATTTGACTTCCATCAATCAATAGTATTAACTTACTTATTGACTGCACCATATCTGTAGATGAAATGTACTCCGAATATTGCCATTGAGAATCCAAACAGTCCACAGTAGATACAAACCAAAACGAAACTGACTTCACGATCGAAAACAGATCCATTATAGTCACGAAGGACAACAAAGGCGGCTTTGTAGGAGTGGACGATCTGAGAAACAATAAGTTTACTGTTTCAAGTTGCTAACAATTAGTTTTATGTTTTCGATCATATAATGGACGATAGAAAACATGAATGCTGCTTTTTGGTTTCAAGAAATTGTTAATTAGGATTCGGTATTTTTCAGTTGATTTTTCGCCAGTTTTACCATTTTCAGAAGCCTGGAGCTCGGCTGTTAAGTTTCCGATCCATTTGAAATTTTTGGAGGATTTAAAACAGAAATACATTGAAAACTTTGCATTTACAGAATTTTCGACAATTCCTAGCTTTTCAGCTAATAGCAGATTTCTGAAAGACACCCCTTTTCGGCACGTTTTTGTACTGATACCATAAGAAAAGCGGGTGTCTTTCAGAAATTGGCAAATTTGTCTAAAACTAGGAATTTCCCAAAAATTCCGTGAATGCAAATATTTTGGTCTAGGTCTGTTTTACACCCTCCAAAGTTTTCAGTGTAATCGGAAACTTGACCACCGTTGCTCCAGACTCTTGAAAATGGTCAAAATGGCCGAAAATCAACTGAAAAATTTGTTCTTGTGTATCTTATTGACCAGTACTGTAATTTGAGAAATGCATGGAAACAATAACACATTCAATTTGTCCGACAACTTGGGAACCTCCCGAAACTTTAATCCTTAGTTCTGATAAACTTTGTTATTATTGGAGCAGGGCTGTCGAAAACGACGGCCGGCCGAGGCCGCGGCACAAAAGCCGAGGGGGCGGAAAGCCGCGGCCGTAAAGCCGGCCTCGGCCCTCGGCCGTGCGGGGTTGAGGGAAACTTCATTCGAAATGAAAATACTCACCAGAGCATGGAAAATCGGTGAAGTGAAGACTTTTTCAAAAGTGAGTAACTAACATAAATATAAATATTTTTGTGGCTCAAGGGAACACTAGAGAGACAATTGAATAGACGTTATAATTTGTAAATTTTTAATGTTTCTACATTTTCCCATTCTTGTTTATATTTTGGAAATCACTTGCCAAAAAAATCTGCTCGAATTCAGAAATAAAAATCAACATTTTGGTCGAAAAACCATAGTTGTGTCTTAATTTTTTTGAACGACGGCATCAGAAATTAATCAAAGCAAAAAATTGACTGTTTCGCATAGTTTAGATTTTCTTACAATTTTTCCCATCACCAGTCCTTCTTCAGATTCCCCTGGTTAATTCCACTCACCGGTTCGGTCATCATATCCCAAATCGAATAAAACACTTCGAACAAGGAAATATAGCACATAAGGTATTTGTAAACTCCCAATTTCTTGGGACTCTTTACCAGAATCAAATAGGTTAATACCAGATTCAAACATATCGATGTGAAGGCGCAGACGATCTGGAATATCCAACTTAGTAGAGTCATTTTTGGGGAATATTTGAACTTTTTCCAAGCCTTTTATACTCTTCTTTTTTGTGCGTTTTCTAAGTGTGACCTACTTGAAAGATGTTCATTAGTGACTGCTTCGAATGTATTCAGATGTCACGTTTAAGTGTTCACTGAAATACCAGTGAATAGAAGGTTAATGAGGATGTTCTGAAAAATAACTTGGTTTCTTTGATGCACCAATAAAATTAATCCGAAAAATGTTCAGGAACAGAGAACAGGGAGCGTCTTGTCCGGTGAAATGACCTGAACTCGAACCAGGCTCCTCGGATTCAGGGGAAGAGGCGGAGCTTAGGAAAAGGGCGTGGTTTAGTCAGAGGTATTGTAGTTTTGAGACTTTCTGACTATTTCTCTGATTTTACTAAAGATCAGGTATTCAATAGTGTTTAATGGGAACAGGAAATAAATTTTAGAGAGACGCAATTTTTTGAAAAAAAAAAATCATGGAACTGGATTTGAGAAAATTATAGTAAAATCAACACTGGATTATTACGAAGCATTTTATTCTTAATTCAAAAAAAAAAACATTGAAAAGTTAGTGAAACAGCAAAACTTCTTCCAAGTTGTGGGGAGTTTAGATGTGGGGAAAATGGGAAAAAGCAGTTGGATACACTAGATTTTAAGATTTAAAATAGCTCAAAATTGGTCCAAAACTAACGAAAAACGATTTTTCATTCTAAAACCTCCATTTTCACCTTTTTACCCACACTTTCAGAGCTTTTGACCCCGATTTTCGAATTGCACGCCCTCGAAAACCCCCAAAAAACACTTTAAAAAAGAAGTTGCCACCGGTGGGATTCGAACCCGAGACCCCTAGATCCAAATTCCTTCGTCGAAAATCCCACTATGCCATATGAGCAATTTTTTAAAAAATTGCTAGAAAATTGATGTTTGGGTCAAAAATTAGGTTTTAAAAGGGTTTTAAGCAATCTTTGGCTCCTTTGAGTGATTTTCCAGCTATTTTCGAGGATTTTCATTTTAAAATCCATAAGTTCACTTTTTAGAAAGGCTTAAAATTTCAATTTTCTTTTCACAAAAAACAATCAATACCTAAAACACCTGATAGAAGACAAAAAAAGCTGAACTAGACGCTGTTAAGTTATACAAATAAACACCTGTCAGCATAATAACATTGAATGTAATATATGTAATTATCTATACTGCTAACACTAACATTAAATAACACGCAAAGTGGTTTTTTTCCTCCTCTAGAGATTGCTTGGCTGCCATACGGAAATTCCGATTTCCTGGATTACTGTAAGACATATCAAAATGTGGTCAACTAACAAAATGTTTGTCTTAAAATGAGCAATATTTTATTAGTTGACAACTTTTTTATATCTTTAACAGGAAGTGAGATAATTGAGCTCAAAGTTCCAGAATTGAAATTGTTTGTCCCACAGGCGTATTGTCAAGTTTGACACCACTTATCCTGGCTACTGTAAGAGATATCAAAAAGTGGTCAACTAATAACATATTTGTCTTAACATGAGCAATATTTTATCAGTTGATCACTTTTTGATATCTTCGACAGGAAATGAGATATATACGCTCAAAGTTGACGATTTTCAAAAGAAGAGGCATTCTAGTACAGTAGTGTTAAAAGTATTGAAAACCTGCTAAAACAGGTCCAAACGTTTTGTTTTGCCTAATTTTTCAAATTACACACTATTTTAATTAAGATTTATAGTCGTTTTGAGTTATTTTCAACCTGCTTCAATCTCATTTGGCGATTTTCATGAACTTTTCTTCATTTTGACCCTTTTGACTTGAATTTTAAGCTTTCTAACTTTGATTTTCGAATTGCCCGCCCTCGAAAACCCCCAAAAAACACTTTAAAAAAGAAGTTGCCACCGGTGGGGTTCGAACCCGAGACCCCTAGATCCAAATTCTTTTGTCGAAAATCCCACTAGGCCATATGAGCTATTTTTTAAAAAATTGCTAGAAAATTAATTTTTGGGTCAAAAATTGGGTTTAGAACGGTTTTTTGAGTTAGAAATTGTGTAAATTGTGTGTTTTCTTCGAGATGAATAAACTCAAAAGGGGGCTATTTTGGAAGTCTTCATTTTGACGCCAAAACTGAAATTCTAGGCTTTCAGACAGCTTCAAATACTTCAGGAATAGGAACTTTCAGTCACTAGGGAAAGAAAAATCAGAAAAATCAGAACGAAAAATAGTTTAGTTGCAAAAATAGTCACTATTTTCTACATTTTTCTTGCTAATCCTGTTTCTTGAGCAGCTCACAGCTGTGTCTATACAGAGTGAGCTACACAGATGTTGTGTAGACCAATACATACACACATCATTGTTTTAAATTGGTCAAAATTTGATCAGAAATATCTGAAAGGGAGTTAAAACTGAAAATTGATTAAAATTCCTAACTTTCAACTTTGAGTCACCATCGCTGAGCTAGTAGCAACGAAGCAAGTGTTTAGGAAGTTCAAAAATCTAGAGAAACCATTTAAAAACACAATTTCCAGCCAAAAAATCTTTCCAAACCCATTTTTTGACCCAAAAACCAACTTTCCAGCAATTTTTTCAAAAATTGCTCATGTGGCCTAGTGGGATTTTCGACGAAAGAATTTAGATCTAGGGGTCTCGGGTTCGAACCCCACCGGTGGCAACTTCTTTTTTAAAGTGTTTTCCGGGGGTTTTCAAGGGCGGGGAGTTCGAAAATCGGGGTTAGAAGTTCCGAAAGTCCTGTTAAATGGGTGGAAATGTGAATTTTGGAATGAAAATCCTCGAAAATTGCTAAATTAGCTCGAAACGGATCAAAATAGCTGTAAAATCACTCACAGGAGTCAAAAATTAGCCTAAAATCCTTTCAAAACCCAATTTTTGACCCAAAAATTAATTTTCTAGCAATTTTTTCAAAAATTGCTCATGTGGCCTAGTGGGATTTTCGACGAAAGAATTTGGATCTAGGGGTCTCGGGTTCGAATCCCACCGGTGGCAACTTCTTTTTTAAAGTGTTTTCCGGGGGTTTTCAAGAGCGGGGAGTTCGAATATCGAGGTTAAAAAGTCTGAAAATCTAGTCAAAATGGTGAAAATGGGGGATTTTGAGTTTAAATCCCTGAAAATCGCCGCTATTAGTTTTGAGCTATATATCTCATTTCCTGTGAAAGATATCAAAAAGTGGTCAACTAATAAAATGTAGCTGATAATATGATAAACATTTTGTTAGTTGATAACTTGTTGATATCTTTTATAGGAAACGAGATATATGGGACGATGTAGAGGGAGGGGGTGTCCAATAGTTTGGAAAATTCCAATATATATAAAGTGCTTGATTAAATTGAAAAAAGAGCAAATACGAGAAAAAGAGAGATTTAGAGAAATTTTCAATTTATCAAAGTGAGATTTATATGAACATTTTGATTATGAGGAAGTCTAGAAAAAAAAGAAGAAGCAAATGTTGAAACTCTAGAGTACACGAACATGGAACGATACTCAGCGTGATCCAAATTTTTAATCAGAAAATTTCATTCAGAAAAAAAAGTATGTTCCAAATAATTGGTAAAATGGAATGGATAACTAGAAAATGATTAGATCCTTCAATATGGTTTGCGAAAATTCCGTTAAAATTTTTAACTGGGACGAGATCAAGTTTTTTAAAGCTTTGAATTAGTTTGGAACTCCTGACAACTCTCAAATCAATCACTTTCAGGTCGTGAAGGCCTGCGGTCAAAATGTAAAGTAAATTTAGTTATGCGGATTTTGACGCAGATTATTCGAAATTTCAAAAAGTTCAGTTTGAGTAATATGACTAGAATTCTAGAACTCGATATGCAAAAATTAAACGTATTCCTAACAAAACAGAATTAGATTTTTCAAAGTTATTTTTATTTTGCTAATTTTAAAGGCATAAAAACTGTGAATTTTTTGAAAACGCCCTAACACAAGCTAATTGAAACCAATTTTCAAAAAAACGTGTTTCAGAATCATCATGAAAAGTTTATTTTTTGAATGCAGCCAATTTTTCCATCGGCTCAGCTTACAATTAGAAATAAATAGGATATCCTGAAACATTTTTCTGCAACAAATATAACAACTTCGAAAGGGATCCCGCATTTTCCTCTAATTCAGGCGCTCCAGACATCATCAACTTGGATATGATTCATAAATTTTTTTGAACGTCATTAACGAAAACCATAACATCTTGATTTTTTAAAAGAAATGGAACGAATGGTCAGGATTTTTCAAAAAACACGAGTCACTCTATTTCTTGTCGTCAGCGAATTTTCAAAAGGATGTGCCCTGATTACTTCTATTATATGTTTTTTGTGGTTTGATTGGAACTTTTAAAGAAACCGATTTTTAAAAAATGAGAACAAGGGAACAACATTGGGAAATCATTTTTTCTAAATTTCAAAGTTGATCCTGCTGCTATTTGGTTGATGAATTGTTGAAAAAGTTTAATATTAAAATTCAGTAAAACTGGAAAAATTTTTGGACTAATTTATTTCTTTGAAGTATTACAACACGTGTTCCCCAGCACTCTGCCATTTTAAAAATCACAGTTCTCCTCCTAATTTTTAATCACCAGACAAATGGTATTGAAAATTGCTTCGACCAGACAATATTAAAGAGTAATGTATCTACAAAATGTTATGAAGTAATTTAGTTACCATATACAATTTCGTCCAGTGACATCAAACTGATCACTAGCCGGAAAGTGCACGTGCAAAAGTTGATCAATAGAACTTTAAGATCAAATTTCTCAAAAATTCAAGTGGAACATTTTCACAGGGAAGTGCTTAAGCTGGAAATTGGGGTTTGTAATCTAGATTTCAATTTTAAATATAAAAGAAATTTTGGAATTATTTATTGTTTCTTCAATATCGTGAAATATCGTTTGTTTTGGAGTTTAAAAACAAAAGGGAAACAGGAAAATTTATTAACCTTCCAAAGCGACGAAATATCAGAATTTCGAATTTTCGCAAACTCATTAATTAGACAAAAAGTGAATTCGTGTAGCTTGGACTGTTCCAGAATATTTGGCTTGGCTTTTCAAAACTATATGAAACAAAAAAAATGTTGAAGAAAAAAGAATCTAGAACACTGGGGTCTAGAAATTAAAAAAACCCATGTTTCTAAATAATGAACAGTTCAACTAATAAATTTCATTATAGTCGTCCACTTGGGTGGATAAAACATGTAGATTATCAAGTTTTTTGGAACACTTCGACCTACGTAAGTCATAAATTTGACAATATTTTCAGTTACACAAATCCATTAAGTTTATTTCTTTGGAGTTTTCCACAATATGATATTTCCTGTCTGTTTTCACAAATCCAAAATTTCGAATATCAGATTTCCCCCTTTCTAGAAATTTCAATCAATGCTAAATCCTTCATAAGAAGCTTATTTTCCAGAATCCTCCTCCTCCACACCTTATGTCTCCTGAATTTTCCTCTTTCCGTGACTTCTGACATTTTTGAAATTTCTCTATTTGTATTTGAGTGATTGGTCACGTCTTCTTATCCTCTCTTCACAAATAATCATATCTTGCTGAAGTAGTTTAATAGAAGATTCTCGAGAAATCTTGTTATTGGATTTTAAACAATATTGGTAAACAATCAGTGAGTGCGTTGTGGGAGGATTGGCCCTCAAAAAATTGTAGGAAAATAATAAGAATTTTTAAGGCGAATGTGAATAATAAGGCGAAAATTTGATTTGAAATTTGAATTAAAATTTTAGCCAGGTCAAAAAAGTGCATGGGGATTTTGGAGGAAGATTTCAGTTTCTTTTTTGTTAGGGTAAAACCTGTATTAGGAGGGCCGGTGCTTCTGTTTTTTCAAGGTACCTACGGAGGAACCTTCTATTACAGGGGCCCTTTCAATTAGAGGGAGCCTTCTAAATTTTCCGGAAAGTTTTTCCAAAAAATTCCTTCGACAAATTCGATGAATTTTTGTTCAAAGTGTAGGAGAAATTCCAACACACCATTCTGAATAGGTCCTTCTATTACGGGGGTCCTCCTATTACAGGGGGCTCTTCTAATACAGGTTTCACGGTAACTTAAAACACACCGTTTTGAAATTAATAAAAACTTAAAAACATTTTTCTGAAAAATCAAAAAGTCACCTGAAAATTCCGTTTAACCATTGAGAAATTTTTAAAAGTGCCCAAATGATCAAGATGAAAATATAAAACACAAAGTCCAAATAATTTTTTTCAAAAGCTAGAATTAAATTGAATATGGTGTCCTGAAATTTTCGCAGTGACCTTTTTACACTTCAAAAAATGTATAAACTGCCAGTTAACCTGCCAGTTAACCGCCAGTTAAACTCTCCGTTAAAATATAAACTGTCAGTTATCTAAAAACTTCTGGCCAAAATAATAAATGTATTTTCTCAGGGGAATGATGAAAGCAGAATGATGTGATTTTGACTTTTAGAATGAAAAGTTTAATAGTTGGGTATGACTACACATTTTTCCGGAATAACTTGTTCTTGATTTTTGATTTCATAGCTTGATGAAGCAAAGTTTCAAAAAAAAAGAGAAAATATTTTATTAAAATATATTTTTAAAAAGAGATGCTGAAACGGAGGAATCGTCAGAATTTGAGATTTATGCAGAATGTGGAACATCTGAATTAATAAAAAAGAACTCGGCGCGACTTAATTTAGTTTTTCACTGGTTTGGTGCTCCGCTTCTCACTTTTTCTTACTTCTTACATTAGAGGGCCACGTAATCTGAACTAATTTTTCGAGATTTTCAAAAGTTGACAGACTCTCATCGGATCAGACAGACGCGTCTTTAATATATAAGGAAGATTTTATTTATTTTTTCCTATTTACCAGCCTGTTTGCCGCGCCTCCGGCGCTTCAAACAGCTGGCTACGCGGCAAACAGGCTGGTTAAACAAAACAGTATTGCCCGAAACCGATGACACATTGAGATTGATCCAGTATTATAGAGGAAAATAGAATTTGTGAAACTGAAAAAAAAAACACTTTAGAAAAAGTAAAAGAATATTTCGTAGAAAAAATGAGTTTTCATGATTTATGATCAGCACAAAAGAGAACGTGTAAATAAAAAACAGTATCATACGTAACAGGGCAGTTAGAGTCTGTAGATCTGTTGGTCACGATTTCCATAAACAAGAATTTTCGAGTTTTATCATATTGGCGTAGACTTTATTTTCAAAAAAAAATGTTCGGCAAGAAAAATAAAGTGACACTAAATCTGAGTTCATAGGTTTTTCTGTTTGGCACGATGTCCGAAGTTCCAAGTTTCAGACAAATTAGCGTGAACTCGTTTATACATGTTGGAAATCAAATAAAGCAGTTTGATAAAAAGTTGTTTATCACGAATGATCTCCCTATTTCTCCCATCCCGAGTTGATAATTTTGTGGACGATTGCCTTCATCACTTCTCCTGACATAGCTTCGATATCCAATCTCTCCACATCTTCTTTTTTAACTGAATCCATCTTAGACAACCATGCATGCTGAAAAAATTCAAAGCAACAATAAAATTGATAACTTTTGAAATTTCACAAAATCTTACAATAACTCTTCTCAAATCAAATTTTATAGCCAATTCCACACGATATTTGGGAATATCCTGACCCATTGAATCGTATATTATTGCTGGTGCAGCTCTTTGATAGACGGCACGTGTTCCAAGTTTACTAGCCACATAGAGTATGTCGTCAACATATTTACGAGCATGATTGTAGATCGGAAATCCGTGGAGAGCATCCAGATATTGTTCCAAACAACCATTGGACTTTGTTGTGATTGGTAGACTATTTGATGAATGAACTATTTTAGAAGACTTCATATGAAATCTCAGAATCTAAAAACGAAAGTGTTGAAAAACGAAAAAGTTCCGAAAGCTCACCGCTTTGGGCACGTAAAGTTGAGCATCTTCGTACTCAAATGCAAAAAAATGGCTTTGTTTTTCCGGTGGTTCTACACGGTAATCAATGACTCTTGGCTGATAGAATCCTTCAACTGTCAGAATCCGAATATCTGATTCCACCCGAATCACATTATTTTTCACAAACCCACAGTTCTCATCCAACAGATCATTGATATTTATTACGTTGTTCTGTTGGACACTTCTAGACATGTTCTGGAATGTTCGAACTCCAAGATTATAGCTCAAGGATGCTTCTGGATCGCTATAATTGTGGAGAGAAATGGAAACCTCTGCTTCAATTTTCCAAGGAGTTGCAGGCTCGTCAACCAGCTTACATTGAACATAAAGTGTTAACATATCATGGGGATCGGGAATAACAATCCCATGGGTCCAGGAAATATTCATTTTTTGAAACCAACCACAACCAAGCGGACCTCTTTCGATTACTCTAGGTATCGCTTCGCGAATGTTCGCAAACGGGTAGGACGTTTTGAAGCGTCCAAGAGGGTAGCGATCTGAAAAGAAAATTCTTGAATAGTGCTTAAGCAACTTCTGAAATCAAAGACGACAGCTTTGGACCCTGATTTTGGAATTTGGAAAATACTCACAGTCAGGTAGGTATTCATCTCTCAAAGGTCTCTTTTCTGGAGAGAAATATTGAAAAAGGAACATTTGTTACAACGGAAATTGTTTTTTTCTGGTAAGGAATAAACAATTTCTAGAGAATTATAATTCTGATTGTGAGTTGACATTGTGGGAGATACGTGGAATGGACTAGTTACTTTCAAGTTAGAAAAACATTTGTGGTTCACGGGGAATAATTTGCGAAATTTGATTTTTTTTCTTATTTCTTGTCGCTTTTCTCGATACAGTGTAAAATTAACTTTTTCGGCACTTAAAAATTCTAGGTCGAAATTTTTTATTTCAAAATAGGTAAAAATTATGAAGGCGAGGAAAACACACAAAATGAGCCAAAGAACGTCAAATTTGGTTAAGAATTGACGGAGGAGATACATTTTTCAGAAAATCAACTGAAAATTTCAATTTTCGAGGTTTTTGCAGACCTGTTCGAATACCACCGATCACATATTTTTTTAATTAGGTAGCAATTGTGTAAAATTTTATGAGGAAAATTTTGATATAAATTTCTCCTAAAAAAATTAAAAACTAGGGGAGGAGATAGGTTTTGAAGCAGTCAGATTAGTCAGATTACTGTAGATTTATGTGAAATTTTCATTTTTCCAAAATAGTTTGCTTGTTTATTTGGCGTGTTATTTATGGCGGGAAACTTTCGTCTTGGAATGACCTAGAAGAGGGAAAATTGAGGGAAAAAGTGATTGTGATTCCTAGAGTCTGAAATCCCTCAATAGGTCGGTTCACGAACAAATCGAGTCCATTTGAACTTTTTGAATTTCGGTTTTTTGCCGATGCACGAGGAACGCGTCAACAATCACCATTTGTGCGCTTTTCGTGAATTATTCACCGTGTGGTTTTTAAAGTTCAAATCGACCACAAAAATTAATTTTTTAAAGATGTTTTTATGAAATTTTTTCCATTTAATGATAAAAGGGTATTTTGTCAAATTTTAAAAAATACCAGCCTGTTTGCCGCGCCTTCAAACAGTTGGCTGGTGCGCCTTCAATCCGTATCTTTTACTGTTCGTCGCTTCGCTCCTCTGTCTTACTCAAAGGGTCACGTAAATTTATATTTTATTTCAACTTTTTCAACGTGTTCGGAAGAACAAACCGAAAAAGAGACGCAATTTCATTTATCTTCCTTATTAATAAAACGCTAGAGGCGTCTGTCCGTCCTAATGCCCGTCTGTCAACTTTTGAAAAAATTGAAAAATACATATATAATTACGTGACCCTTCTAGAAAAAGTGAGAAACGAAGCGACGAAAATTAAAAAAAGAAAAGATTGAATCGCGCCGAAGGCGCACCAGCTTGCTGATTTATTATAAGAATGATGATGATTATTTCCATTTAAAAAACTTTATTCGACCGAAAAACATTGAATCTTCAAAGCAATGACTTCGAACTTTCAGAATTTGGTGAAAAATCAAACGGCAATGAGATAACTTGGTACACTAGTATTTTTCGAAAAAAAAACCAAGAATAAAGTTTCAACAAAGCTCGACTTTCAGTTTTTTTCCCATCCCGAATTGATAACTTTGCGGACGATTGCCTTCATTACTTCTCCTGACATTTCTTCAATATTCAATCCCTCCACATCTTCTTTTCTTACTGAATCCATCTTAGACAACCATGCATGCTGAAAAATAACACATCTACAGTGAAATTGATTTCTTCCGAATTCTCACAATAACTCTTCTCAAATCAAACTCGACAGCCAATTCCACATGATTTTTGGGAATATCCTGACCCATAGAGTCGTATATTATTGCTGGTGCAGCTCTTTGAGAAATGGCGTGTGTTATAAATGTCCTGGCCACACTCAATATATCTTTGACAGTTTGACGAGCATGAATGTAGATTGGGAATCCGTAAAGAGCATCCAGATATTGTTCTAAACATCCACTAGACAGTCTTTTGATTGGAAAACTATTTGTTGAATAGATATAGTCAGGGTACTGTAGATGAAAACTCAAAATCTAAAAATGCAAGTATTGAAACAAAAAAGTGGCAAAAACTCACTGCCTTGTGCACGTAAAGCTTAGCGTCTTCGTACTCAAATGCCAAAATATGATTTTGTTTTTCAGGTGGTGGTACACGGTAATCAATGACTCTTGGCTGATAGAATCCTTCAACTGTCAGAATCCGAATATCTGATTCCACTCGAATCTCATTATTTTTTACAAATCCAAAGTTCTCATCCAACAAATCATTGATATTCATAACGTTGTCATGACGGGCACTTCTAAAATTGTTCTGGAATGTTCGGATTCCAAGGTCATAGTTTAAAGGTGCCTCAGGATCGTTATAATTGTGGAGAGAAATGGAAACCTCTGCTTCAATTTTCCAAGGAGTTGCAGGCTCGTCAACCAGCTTACATTGAACATAAAGTGTTAACATATCATGGGGATCGGGAATAACAATCCCATGGGTCCAGGAAATATTCATTTTTTGAAACCAACCACAACCAAGCGGACCTCTCTCGATTACTCTAGGTATCGCTTCACGAATGTTCGCAAACGGGTAGGACGATTTGAAGCGTCCAAGAGGGTAGCGATCTGAAAAGAAAATTATTGAATAGTGCTTAAGCAACTTCTGAAATCAAAGACGACAGCTTTGGACCCTGATTTTGGAATTTGGAAAATACTCACAGTCAGGTAGGTATTCATCTCTCAAAGGTCTCTTTTCTGGAGAGAAATATTGAAAAAGGAACATTTGTTACAACGGAAATTGTTTTTTTCTGGTAAGGAATAAACAATTTCTAGAGAATTATAATTCTGAGTTGACATTGTGGAAAATACGTGGAATGAACTTGTTACTTTCAAGCAAGAAAAAACGTTTGTGAATCGTAAAGATCAAATGAAGCACAGCATTAAAGGAGGCGACAGCAAAAATTTCGGGGGCAGTTCGGGGACAAAATCGCGCCGCGCTTATGTAGACTATCGGTCGTCAGGCGCCTTTGCGCCCCTGTAGCTCAGCCGGTAGCGGCGCTGTACCCCTGAGCTGCCTGTCATGAGTTCAACCCCTCATGGGGGTTCTCTATGCAAAATATCAGGAAAACTTTTTTTTGGTGTCTGGCCTCCTTTAAATTCGTTTGAGATGATTTTAAAATGAAAAGTGGAGCTTTTTACTGTATCTAGAAGTTTCATGTTCATCGGCGACTGAAGATAGGAGGCGACTGGACAAATTTTCATGGTTTCTTACGGAAGATGGAATTTCAAATTTTGCAAACTGAATTGATTTACGCATATTTTTTCATCGAATTTTCTGTCAGAACTAAGGCTGTGCAAAACGGCCGAGGCCGTGGACGAATCCGGCCGTCCTTTCGAAAATAAGCTCAACTACCCGGAAACTACTAGGGCCACTAGGCCGCCGTACCCTTCCTATCTCATAAGTACCGTTTTCAGAATGCCGCGGCCGGCCGTGGCACAGTCTTGGTCAGAACATTTTTTAAGGCTACATTTTGTAAAATATACAGTTTCAGTGAATAAATATTTACTCTGAATCTGTTTCTTTGTTAGTGGGCATTTGAGACAAGATGTCTACGATCACATAATCATTTATTTCTACAGAAGTATCCAGGAATTTAAAAACCAAAATCAAAAACACACACTCCCATTATATTGTCTCATTGTTGTCCCAACGCTGGTGATCGTTTCCACCGCTATGTGATTATTTTTTGGTCGACAGAAAGTTCCAGATTTTAGGCGGTGGAAGAATTCTGAAATGTTTCAGGGAAAATATTATTAGTATGTTAATGTTCGGAAGAGATATAAATGTTTTAAAGGTGGGGGGGGGGGGCATGAAAAAAATAATGTTCTCGAAATTCCGTTCAAAGATGCCTCTCGAGGAGTTGAACTTGTGAGGGCGATGATTGAGGGTGCGGCGCCGCTACCGACTGAGCCACGCGGGCAAAGAGAAAGCGCGCGCCCGATTGCATACATAAAGGCGAGGACGACAGCTGTACGCAGAGTGACATTAAGCGTTGTACACCGTGACGGTAGAATGCATACTCTAGCTACAAAAAAAACTACGAAAAATCTCCTGTCCCCCCACCTTTAATACAATCTTTTTGAAGCAGTACATAATCTTTGAATTTAACCAAAAAGGAAAACTTACCGATTATGGTATTCCGATAAGATTTGATAATAAACATATTAGGTAATGGGTTCAAAACCGGGTACAAAGTCACTGCATGTGTCAAATAGGTGCTTATCACACCAATCTCCACCATAAAAACCGGACCAAACACAAAAACACAAACTGGTAAATACATAAAAGTGATAGGGATTACTGTCTGTCCCACCAACGCAAAATATAACTGTTTTTTAAGAGAATTCGCAACTTGGGATTGAGAAGAGGTCATGGATAACTGACTGGATAGTTCTGAATAACATAAATATCCCAGGAAACTGACACAGAACATTGAGGAGCCAACCATTGTAGAGAACTGAACTAGAGCTATCCAACTACCCCAGCTTAGATGGATGGATCCATTGTTTGGGTCATCCACGTAGAATACGGCAGAGATATAGCTGATGTCCTCGATATTTAGGTTGTAGAGGGTTTTGGTGATGTTTCTGGAAGGATTCCAGCAATTATAGAGCTTTTAAACCATTTTTATCCAACTGATAATGCTTTCAGTCAGATCATAAAAAAGTTAATATCGGATGGAAACCGTAACTTTTTCATAGCACTTTCAAAAACTGGAATCAAGTGATCGGTTACAGTTAAGCTGATAAAAATAGCGTTTAACATTGTTTTGAAACAGAAAAATTCTTGATCAGAAAACTATCTCAAAATTGTAACATACCTACATTATTCATTTCTAATAGTGAGACTAGACATTCTATGACTCAAGCGAAACAGAAACTTTTTTATCTCTCTTGGGGTACTACCAATTTTTGTTCTCCTTTTGAAAAATACAAAAATTGCACTTTAAGCTAACTTTTAGGTTTCAATTTTGACTAACAAAACTCCTTACCTCATATAATAAAATGTGTCCGGGGAATATCTACAGTAAATTATACACACAAAACACCACCAAATAAAATAGACGATGGGAACTGCAAACAGTACAAGCAAATTTCTCCCAAATGCTTGAATTTTGTTCCAGAATAGGGAGTGGCTGAAAAAAGGTCTAAATAACTAAAGCAGGGAACAATATTGCAAACGCGCTCTACCGAATTTTAATTGACAAATTTGATTTGAAAAAAAAACGTGCTTGGAACATTTGCATCTTTAAAGGCTTGTGAGGGCGAGTATTGAAGGTGCGGCGCCGCTACCGACAATAGGATGGCAAACATAAGGGTGAGGACCACCGCTGTACGCAGAGTGACATTAAGCGTTGTACACCGTCACGGTAGAATGCATACCCTAACTCCAAGAAACCTCTGAAAAATCTCCTGTCCCCCCACCTTTAACGAATCAAAGATTTTCTAGAACTCTTAACAACTTTTAGAAACCGATATAAAATTTCAAGCCGAAAAAAATCCTAACTCACTTCGGATGAACAGACGCAAATCTATACACAAAATGAACGCCAAAAACTGCCATCGATGACCCGAACAGTCCGCACCAGGTGACAATCAGCACTTGAGATTTATTAGAATCTGTCCACGTGGCGTTGTAACGACGGAAAACTACAAACGAGTAGCCATAGGAGTACGCAGTCTGAAAGTTGGGAAACGTAAATGGAATTCGGAAAAAAACGACACTTTCAAGGCTACCCAAGCCGTCAACTTTGAGCTCAATTATCTCGGTTCCTATAAAAGATATCAAAAATTTGTTAACTGATAAAACCTTAGTGATAATATGATTGATAATTCATCTGTTGACAAAATTTTGATATCTTTTACAGGAATCGAGATAATTGAGCTCAAATATGACGGTTTGGGTGGGCTTCTGTAAGAATACGGTATCCAAACTGACTATCCAAGGGCGTTACGAAACTTAAAAAAAGATTTTTGATTTTTTTAAACTGTTTCAAATATACAATTAATTTCAATTAGACCCTAATGTGCACTTTCAATTAGTTTCTTCACACTAAAACACTTTTTTTGACTAGACGAACCTGAAAAAAATTCTAGACATTTCTCTGGGGAATTTGAAGTTATACAGTTGTTTGTGAGAACCGTTTTTTTTCAAGAAATTATTTGATTCGGGTAAACAAAAACGTAGAGCATATTTAGTTACGCAAATAGATATATTATCACTTTATGATAAACCACCTAACTGGGGCGCGTTCGGCGCGATTTAATCTAGCGTTTTGCTGGTTCGGTGCTTCGCTCCTTACGTTTTCGAAAAAGAGAGAAGAGCGAAGCGACGAACGCCTCGAAGGCGCACCAGCCAGCTGTTAGAAGCGTCGGAGGCAGACAGGCTGGTATTTAGAAAATTCGAAGACAGTTTGAGTTTCAAAAATACTTTTTTTTTGTTTCGAGGACTTAAAGAAAAAAAAAGTTTGATATGAGTTTTTGGTGTATACTCTGTTTTGGTATACAAGTGAAAATCTTTCAGTTATTGATTTAAAAAAGGTTATGATAGTTTTTTCTAGCTCACAAGACCTACCGGCTCTGTTAACAAATCCACCACTGTATAAATCTGTTCAAAAACCGCTGTATAAATCATCAACCACTTATAATCTCCCAATTTTTTGGGGGATTTGTACAAAATAAGATAGATCAGCACACTGTTTAAAATCAGCGAAATCATTGTGCACAATGATTGATAAATGTGCTGAAGACAGCGAGGAGACGACATGAGATCTGGAATGAATGAGGCGAAGCGCCACGAGATTTGCGAACAAGGCATAGTCAGGGGTAATAGGATCTGATGCTTGTTATTAGGTAATGAATATATTGTTGTTATGAACGGGTGTAGATACGAAAAATAGTCCCGAGGGAAAGGTAGGGGTTCGAAGAAAAAAGGGAGGAAACACAGACACTCTGAATAAGGTAATAAAAATTTGGAGACCAAATGGGAGGGAATGAATGAAAAGTGAATTCAATGTAAAGCATGTAATAGAAGGGCCCCATTACTTTTAACTTTAGCCAATTTTATTTGGTTCCTGCTAAAGAAATGAAAAATTGTCAACTGATCAAATTTGATCATAGTTTAACAAACATATTATTAGTTGACACATTTTTGATATCTCGTATAGAAGTCGAGGTAATTGAGCAAACAGTGTGTTTGACAGTGTATTGACTCTTCTATTACAGGTTTTACGACAAAATCTTCATTTTTACGTACTAGTCAAAAGTTGCCAAGAGTTGTTGGTTACTGTAACAAGATGTGGATGAATAGAGGAAATTCAAAAATTAGGCAATTAGTAATTTGGTCCCTTTGGAATTTGAAAACCCAAAATGTTTTTAATTTTCAGAATTGAATTTTTTATTAGAAAGAAAAGGGGTATACAACTATTATTGATATGTTAAAAATTATTTTTAAAAGTATTCGAAACTGAAAAGTAATCATTAAGACGACTACTCATAGTTTGGTAATCACAAATCACTTTGAGAAAGACATCAAAAACTTGAAATCACAAGATTTGACCCAAAATTTGTGGATAAAATGATCCTGGATGACTAGAACGACATCAAGGAAAAAAAGAATACATAAAAAACCATTTATTAAATTAGACAATTCCTCATATTGCTTTTTGTTTCAATTTCTTGAACAGGAGTTAATATTAAAATATTTCTTCCGGACAAAACTCCACGGCTCTCACAATTTCGATTTTTCCAAATTGAGTGCAATTAAAGTTCCTGATGACGTGACCAAGTGATTTCCTTCCTCAAAGAAACATTTCACAGTCAAAACGGAAACCGTGAACACCCAGAATTTCGACACCTCCATTTTGAGGGTGGAAAATTATGAAGTGCTGAAAAATGGATCTTAATGTTAGTCGACAAACAAAGAACGTTTATTGTATTGTGTTGTCCTCAAGTCAATTCAATAAAATATATAAAAATCGATATAACTAAAATACTAATGAAACTGGAATTTTCAAATCTGGTTTACGTGATATTTCGTTTTTTTTTTGAGTTCAATTGGAACAAACGTATTTTTGTTTCAAAAAAATAAAAATGGAAAATGTTCCAAATTTATCGAATCAAAGATGAAAAGAATTTTTTGAATTTCAAAAAAATTAAATACATGAACCCTTTTATCTCTATAAAAATACCAGCCTGTTTGCCGCGCCTCCGGCGCTTCAATCAGTTGGCTTGTACGCCTTCGGCGTGATTTAATTTATATCTCTCATTATTCGTCGCTTCGCTCCTCTGTCTTACTCAAAGGGTCACGTAAATTTATATTTCGTTTCAACTTTTTCAACGAGTGCTGACGAACCGAGAAATAAGGAGACGTAACTTCATTTATTCATATAAGAATTATATTTACCATTTCACAATACTTTCAACTGTTTCTCTATTAAAAAAACCAATCATGGCGTACCTTACTCTTCTTCACTTTTTTAAACAGCTCATTTTCTTCAAACTAACTCTTCAACCCATCCAATCCTCTTCCCTCCAATCGACAAATTTCGAATTCCAAATTAGAATCATGAAGACTCAACAGTTCCGAAAAATCTCTTGAAACGATTGATTTATCCATGGTTTCCATGATTTGATTTTGTCCATTTTCTGGAGTCTCGAGCTCGACAAGATTCCGATCACTTTGAAAAATTTGGAGGGTGTAAAACAGACCTAGGTTGAAAACTTTGCATTCACAGAATTTTTTGAAAATTCCTAGTTTTCCATCAATCTGCCCTCACGGGGTTACAATCGGATACATCGAGATTTCGCGCTTTTCTTTCAAACGCCACGCGGTGCGTATGTGGATGGCAGCTTACAGTACACCGTCGCAGTTCAATTAACGTTACGTGAGTCGCTACTCAGCGAGTTTCAACCACCATGCGACTGAAAAAGCGCGAAATTTCGATTCAAATCCATGTACCCGATTTTTCTCCCGTGTGCCGTGAAGGCGCAAAGAGTAAAAAATTGGGCTTTTGATGAACTTTTTTTGTTCTAACTTTTTCAAATCTACGTCTCTATTGAAACATTCTTTCGAGAAGCCGCGCGGCTCGTTCGACCCACTATAGCTAATTAAAACCTATTTTCTTTTTTTTCAACATTTATTATACTCGAATAGACCAAAAAATACATTATAATATCATCTCTGTGAAATTTGAAAGAACTAGAACCGGACAAAGATATAATTTGATACAAATTGACAAAAACTCATTTTCGACAACAAAACCAATACACAAATACAGTGAAATAAACATATCGTATTTTTTCTAATGAACCAAATATTTCATTTTCTGGCTCATTAGAGGAAATACGGGAATTAAATAGAAATTAAACAATTAGTTCAACTTATAGCTGAGGGATTCAGAAGCGGGATGTTCGATGGTGTATCGAACGGGAAGAAGACGATGTTGGCCCGGTGCCAACACGACGCACCATTCGAGATTATGGTCTTTGTTGAGACGAGCATCTGGTGGTGACGCAGAGTTTTTATAAGACGAGGAGCTCTTGATTTCTGGGGAGACGATGGAGACCTGGAAAAATTGAAAAAAAATGGAAGAATGATTAAATTAACGGATTTTTTATACGGAAAATAAAGTTTTAAAATTTTATGACGATGATTTTCTAAAACTTTTTTTTGGCGGTTTCAAAAATGTGAGAAATGTTTCTTGCAACTTTGCAAAATATTGAGTTTCATGGGTGTTGTATTTAGAAATTGATGTCACTTTCAAAATTTCACGGAAAAGAACTACGGAAATTGAAAACATTCAAAGATACAAATTTTGGAAAAAAAAAATAATTCAAATCGGAATTAATGAAAAAAATTTTATTCTGAAATTCGCCGTAGATACCGTAAAACCTGTAATAGAAGGGCTTCCTAGCTTTTAACTTTGAGCCCATTTATCTCAGTCGCTGTAAAAGATATCAAGAAGTAATCAACTGACAAATTGTTTATCATAATATCATACATTTTATTAGTTGACACATTTTTGATATCTTGCATAGGAATCGTGATAATCGAGCTCAAACTTTACGGCCCTCCTATTACACGTTTTACGGTAAATGATAAAGCCCCAAATGAATTTCTTGAATTACCTAATTATCGTTTCAAAACATTTTCCAGAACCGAAACGCGGTGTGATAGTTTGGATTTGGTGGGGGAGGCGGCTGCATCTTCTTCTCAAAATTTCAAATTCCCGCATTTCTTTTCTCTAAACTATGCTAATGCGCTCTAACTTAAAGCTACACTGGAAGACTACAAGCTACACTTGCTTACCTTGATTTTGTCATCATGGCTTTTTGGAATCTGCTCCTTGACGGTTATTTTGACACTTTGACGGACTTTTGCACTACGAACACTGATCAGCTGTTCGTGTGTCATCAGCGTGCTTTTCGACATGAACCCCACCTGGAAATTTTGAATTTTGAACTACAGTCAGATTATTAAGAATGTTTGAATTGGTTTACGAATGAATCTTTGTTTCCAAAGTTTAGTAAATCATAAACTCGAAACAGTATGAAATTTTAGTACTGTACCTGTTCATAAGACCTGGTCGGCGTTTTATACTCCACTTTGACTGATGGGTCCACTCCCATATTACATCTGAATTCCTCTCCAGGGGATACAAGACGAAGATGGGTCTAAAAATTTTAATTTAATAAAAACATTCATTTCTGGACTTATTTGAAACACTAAAATGACACTGACATTTTGTTGCAATGTTTTGCAAGGAGTCAGTGTAAGAGTGATTTCATGAACTAGTTTATTTTCAAATTGATGCTAAAATTTTGATGAACAAGAACGAACACATGAGAAATGTATAAAATCAGTTTTTTTTAATGTCTGGTTTTTTTCTGATTGAAAAGTGATATTTATCCAAACGCACCATAAATTTTAAATCCCCTAAACTCTCACCTTGGTGACAAAACAGTTATTGACATACACAGCGACTGCTCCAGGGAGAAGCGGAAGTTGAGATGTGTTGGTGATAAGAGCTGATAAGTAAGCACTGGTCGAACGAGATGGAACTGTCTCGTGGGAAAATGCACAGGATAGGTCGCTCTGAAAATTTTAATTATGAACAATGCTGAAGGAAAATTTTTGAGAAAGTTATATACTTTTTTTCCAATAGTTTTCCAGGAAAGTTCTGGACGAATTTAGCAGATACAGTGAAACCTGAAATATAAGAACTCCTCCTAACTTTCAAGTTTGAGCCTATTTTTATTGGTTCCTGCCAAAGATATCAAGAATTTTGTCAACTGATAACTTGTTAATCATGAAATCAAAAACATTTTATTAGTTGACACCTTTTTGATATCTTGGATAAGAATTGAGATAATCGAGCTCAAACTTAACTGTGCGCGTTCTATTAGAGTGTTTACGGGATACACTTTTTCTCGAAATCCAGGAAATTTGGATTTATCAGATTAACTCGAAGTCTCAGAAAGTTTTTGACAGGGCTCAAGTTTTGCTGATTTGAACATTAATTTTTTTTCGGTTTCGAGAATTTCATTAATAAAGTACTATATATTTATTTGGTGCTCGAAGAATATTTTCGATTTTTGAGAAAGTTATAAACCCGTTTTTAGCTTTTAACAAATTTAGCAGATACTGTAAAACCTGTGAAGGACCCCTAACTTTCAACATTGGGCCAATTTTTCTCGGTTCCTGCGAAAGATATAAAAAGTTGTCAACTGGTAATTTGTTAATCACATTGTCATAACAATTTTATCAGCTAATATTTTTTTATATCTAGCATAGAAATTGAGATAATCGAGCTCAAAACTTACAGTGTGTGGGGTCCTTCGATATTTGGTTTTACAGTATATTTAATTTAATTTAATTTATTTATTTCAACGAAGGGGAGAAAACCACTAACACGTGAAATGTCTATGAAACTAGGAGATATAACAGGGACATACATTTGTATTAAATGGGAGATGGAGGAAAAACCGAGTTAGTAATTAGTTGAATTCAAGACAAGAAAATGTTTTAGATCACAGGATAATAGTCGATTTTGGAAAGTAGCTGACGAGGGCTTCACCGGAAACACTTTGGCGGGTAAAGAGTTCCAACATCTGATTACTCTATTAGAGAGAAATTGAGAAGATATTTTTGTTGAGTTCTTGATGAGTGATTTGAGATAGTATTTGTGACGTCGCAATGATCATGATTAAATATTTCAAAAATTGGAACCTCCATGATAATTTCTTTGGAAACAATAATTTTATACGTTTAGACCAAATCATTATAGAGCCTCCGATACTCCAATATACCCAATGTTTTAAGGAAAACTTTTTTTCAGTTTCGAGAAATTCATCAATAAAGCACAATATTTATTTTGTGCTTTTTCTGATCTGATGAATTACAAAAATAATTCACTCACCTTAACAATCAACAACTTGTGCTCCACTGCATTGCTCAAAATAGTCACCGCTCTGGGAATCGAGAAACATGTGGATACCGTATTCTCCAATGCTTGAGTGCTGACACTATTTTCCTCACTGCTTCGACTATGCTGACCATTGTGCCATCTATGATAAGCAGCTGCATCGACAATATCATTATAATCAAACGACCCGAATCCCATATCCTCTTCAGAAGGAATTGAAAGAGGTGCCTTTCTTCTAGCTGCCGACGATGCGTGGTGTCTTCTGGTGGGTCTGGAGCTGTGGAGAGATGCAGATAGGGTGGATAGTGGAGGTGGAGATCCTCCGAGGCTCGCGGAGCAAGTGGAGAGAACAATATCACAATCTTTCCAGTCATCGCCTGTGTTCTGTTCTACCAAACCGTAATAGCAGAGTTGAACGGAGCTGCCATTCTGAGAATCTTCTTCTTCTTCTGCGGAACTTGCGCGGATATCGTAGCAGGGTTTCCAGGAGGCACAATAGACCTGATATGTGATGTAGAGTTCGACTTTCCCGGATTCTTCCATTTCAACCACGATACTGATGTTTCTGGAATATGAGACTTTTACAAAAATTTTATTTCTGAAATTATAAATTTCTATGAATTTAGAAAAGTTATGTGTTTCAAAAACTGCATGAGGAATTCTCAGAAAATTGAAAAACATTGCCTTGATCAAAATATTTCAATTCCAGACAATGATTATATATTTCGAATTTTCGTACTTTTTAAGTCTTTTTAAGACTCTCATGATGGTTTTTTTTTCTTTTTAAGACTCTCATGATGATTTAAAAAAAGGTAATTTTTAACTTATAATTTTCAGAATTTTAAAATTTCAAACCAGAATTAAATATACCATCTTATCACACAGAATAAACTAAATTTGCAAAAAAATCCTTCTATAACATTTACTTCAGAAATTAATATTTAAAATGCACTTTGTGAAACTGCATAAAAATTTTCTTTTCAATGTTAAAATTTCAGTTTTCAAAACCACAGTAAATACTAATATTTCTGGAATTGGAGGATTTTATTGAAAATTATTTTTGAAAATATGAATGTCCAGATCTTACAAAAATATGTGTTTCAAAAATTGCATAAGAAATTCTCAGAAAATTGAAAATTATTTCGCCAGAGTTCAACCAACATAAATTCGAATAAATTCTAATTTCCGTTTCACCCAATGATTATTCTACTTTAAATTTTCGTTTTTATTGATGAGTTCGAAGAAGTGGGTAAGAATAAAAAATACGGAATCTTTCTAAATGGCGTGGATTTCAAAGACAAAATGCAAATTTTCAATTTATAATTTTCAAAGTCTTAAAATTTCGTGTCAAACTGAAGATACTATCTTATCACATAGCATACCGTAAAACCTGTATTAGAAGGGCCCTTGACAGATTTTCATGAATTTTGAACGAAGGGCCCCCTCTAAAATAGAAGGGCCCCCTCTAATTGAAGTTCCCCGCTATTTGAAGGGCCCTCTGGTGGTACCTTTTAACAATAGAAGGGCCGACCATTCTAATACAGGTTTTACGGCAAGTCAATTTTTTGCGATCCCTCTCAGATTTGAACATTTATTACAGCATTCTATATTTCAAACTTATTGTGTGAACCTGCAAAAAAAAAAGATTTTTTTTTCAGATTTCAGATTTTTCAGATTTTTTAGATTTTCCAAAGAATTTATACAAATGTTCCAAAAAGCACAGATCGAGAAATTTTAACTCTTATCATTTTAATGTACAATTTGAAACATGAAAATTTACAAACGATTTTCAATGTGAATCCTCACAAAGGAATCATACTACAGTAGTACACCTGAACCTTCCAACCGACTAAACACCAATTTTTACAAAGTATATTCAAACGCAATTCATCAAAAATCACAAATTCCCCCATTTTCCCCCAGTCATGCCTATTGCCAACATTGTGTAATCATCCGATGCCATCTCTACACACCCAAGGAAAGTTTTTTTTTCCAAAAAAAGTATTTCAGAGAATGTGGAAAATCCATCATCAATCCTAATGAGGAAACAGGCCTATCACCACTCGATATCACTTCATATCAACTTTTTTCTCACTAAGTATAGGTACGCCCTCCCTCTGTCTCTCAACGTCTTCTTCCTTATCTCTTACGCCTTCTCGGCCAGAACCGGTCGGGGGCCTCTTCTACACGGCGATTCCGTTTTTTATGCACTCGGATCGGCAGGACAGAAGTCTCTTCGGATAGGTGGAACTAAAGGAGGGGCTCTTTTTTTTCTGGCGTCGCTTAGCAAGTACTCGATGGGTGATATAAAAGGGAATGGAATGGTTATCTGGAAACATCATCATCATCATCGCTTGTTTTATTTTTCCATTTAGATTTTTGATTTTTTGAATCACAGCTTTTTCAGCAGAATTTTTTAACTCACCGTAAAACCTGTATTAGAAGGGCCCATTTAATAGAAGGGCCACTCTAATAAAATGGACCCCGAGAGGGGCTTGGAAAAGTAGAAGGGCCCCCTGCAACCCACTTTTAAAATGTGTTTTGAAATCAGAAACTTTCCGTACTTTTTCAGTGGTAAATATTCTAGAAACTCCAAAATTTAATAGAAATTTGTTGAAACTCTATTTTTCGATGAAAATCTTGCTAAATTTTGGTGAAATTGGCAATTTTCGAACAAAACTTCGTCGAATTTTTCAATGCAAGATTTCGGAAAAAAACTGGCCGGAAAAATAGAAGGACTCCCTCTAATTGAAGGGCCCATGTAATAGAAGGGCCCTCCGAAGGTACCTCGGAATAATAGTAGGGCCGGCCCTTCTAATACAGTTTTTACAATATGAAGTAAACCTGTCAGTTTTGAGTTCAATTATCTCGACTTTTGTGAAAGATATCAAAAATGTGTCAACCGACAAAACATTTCTGATATTATGATAAACAGTTCATCAGTTGACAACTTTTTTATATCTTTGACAGGAAACGAGATATGCTCGCTCAAATTCAAAATTTAGGGTTCCCTTCTATTACAGGTTTTACGGTACTCGCAAAATTTTGAATTTTAGACCTAATTTTCTATTTTATTTTGTCGTAAAAATGTTTTAAACAATTAATTTCAAGAACCTGGTGAAAATCAGTTTTTTTTCAGAGAAATGTATTGTTAGTAGAATCATCAAAACTTCGAAATTCTCAAAACTGAGATTTTGGAAAAATTTTTTGAAAAAAAACCGAATTCAAAAAAATCATTTTTCAAAAATTGAACACATGAACACTTGAAAACTTTCCATTGTCTGAGGCCTATCAATGTCTTCAAAAATTCCAGGATTTTATCAAAATTTTGAAACAGCCAAATACAAGTACCCTTCTTAAGAATCTCAAACTGAAATTCAAGTGAACTAGATTTTCTTCAATTTTGTATCACTTTCAAACTCTATCTCCCCTCATTGTGTCTAGTAAATCAATCTCTGTTTCAAAACGTTATATTCTAGCCCACCAGCTTCAACCTTGACTCAATACCCAGAACTTCCTTTTTCAGAACCTAATCAACAATGGAGGAGGACCGTCAGTCAGTCAAGAAGTTCGCCTTCTTCGGAATCGCCGCTTCGACTGTCGCCACTCTTACCGTGGTCATGGCTGTCCCAATGATCTGCCTCTACCTCCAAAACATTCAATCCGGCCTTCAAGACGATTTGACTTTCTGCAAGTCCCGCACAGATTCTCTCCGTGGCGAGTACACCCGACTAGCCGCCTACAGAGACTCTGCTGTTGCCACTCTTCGTCAAAAGAGATCCTCCGGAAACGATAAATGCTGCTCTTGCGGAACCGGAGCTGCTGGACCAGTTGGACAACCAGGAGACGATGGAGCTCCAGGAGCAGATGGAAAGGCTGGAAAGCCAGGAGTCAACGGAAAGGACGCTGATGCTCAACAAATCCCAACCGCCGATGACTTCTGCTTTGAGTGCGAGCCATCACCAGTTGGACCACCAGGACCACCAGGACCAAAGGGACCAGATGGAGAGGCCGGAGCACCAGGAGAGCCAGGACCAGCCGGACGTCCAGGAAACAAGGGAGCACCAGGACCAGCAGGACCAACTGGAGCCGATGGAGAGCCAGGAGAGATTGGAGCACCAGGAGCACCAGGAGTTCAACGCACCGTTGCTTCGCCAGTTGGAGAGCCAGGAGAGCCAGGAGAGCAAGGACCAAAGGGAGAGGCTGGACAAGATGGACGTCCAGGACAGCCAGGAAGACAAGGACCACAAGGAGAGGCTGGACAGAACGGAAAGGATGGAGAGCCAGGAAAAGATGGGGAGGATGGAGAGCCAGGAAAGCCAGGAGAGGACGGACCAAAGGGATCTTGCGATCATTGCCCACCACCAAGAACTGCTCCAGGATATTAGATTCTTTGATGGGATCTTTTCTAACTTATTGCCATTTGCTCTTCTCGGGTTATTTCCCAGTTTGTATAAAGTTTGAAATTATTTTTTTTTTGGAAATGTTGTTGTGGTATGGATTCGTCTTAATACTTTAAAAATCCCAAACTTTTTGATACAATTAATGTAAAACAGTGAGAATTCCTATCCTACCTCTTAATCGAATCATACTCAGCGACACATCTCAATTGATCCAATTGCCTGTCCAACTGATCGATTTTTTCCGATAGCTGTTGAGTTTCCCGTTGACGTTTTCGTAGCTCTTTTTTCATGTCTCGCACGGCGTCTCCTAGAAAAAAATATTTAAAAATTTCCTGTTTCTCAAAAGTCAAAAAAGTGAAGTCAGATTTTTTTTTCTTCAGTTTCAATTTTTCTCTCACCATAATAACTCAAAAATTTCGCCAAGTTGTCCAGTGACTCGTGATTGAAAAAGAAGCCATTTGACATCGGTGTTGTGCTCATAGCCAATGGATTTGGCTCCTGTCCAGTTACAGTATGCCGACGGACCAAATGTGGCTGACTTCCAGATGCTGGAAGATGGGAGGATCCTTGATTGGAGGAAGAGAATGGCATGGCGGCGGGTCCGGAGGAGATCTGCAAGGTGATTATGATTTTTGATGAAATTACTGATGGAATTATGATTTTTGGCTAATTTATGAAATTGCTGAAACTGTAGAAAAAACAACGCAATTTCCAAATACATAGGTCTAAAATTTCGCTATCAGGCATTATTCAAATTTTCTGTTTCAATCTATTACAATAGTTTTCGCAACTGCCAAAATAATTGTTACGTTTCAACCAATTTCTACATTAAAACTATTTTAAAATTACCTGTCCCGCAACTCCATCCAGCACATCAATTCGTTTTTTGATCGAACAACATTCGTCCTCAATCGCGAACCTTTCATTTTCCACTTCAATTTTTTGTCGCTCAATTTGCAGAATTTTGTCAGTTTCATGTGTCATATCCATTGGTACTTCTTGATATTGAACCTCTTGAATCAGGACACCCCGACCATCGACTCGTACTGATTGGGGTTCAATGACAGCTGAGACATTCTGAAACCAAAGAATGAAAGGATTAGATTGAATATTGAAGAAATACAGAAAAATATCAGTTTCAATGAGTTTTCATTAAGTTATCTGAAAAATTGTTTTACTGCAGTCTTAGAATCCAGAATACTAGTGGTATCCAACGTTAAGCTCATATATCTCGGTTCCAGTAACAGATATCAAAAAGTAATCAACTGGCAAAATGTTTATCATAACATCAAACATAATTATTCAGTTGACCACTTCTTGATGTCATCTACAGTAACCGAGATATAGGTTCAACGTCGACGATTTGGGCGGCCTTCTATTAGAGTTAAGTTAAGTGATTCATGAGGAAAATAAAAATTATCTGTTTCAATGAGTTTTCATTAAGATTTCTGAAAAAATAGTTTGATGCAAATGCTACATGCCCCGATAAGCTTGTAAATTTTTCCTTTTCACTTTATTCTGTGAATTTTTTGATTCCTTATTGTTCAAGCTTGAATTCAAGAACAATTCTTGTTACTGCCCTCATCACTTCTCGAAACTTTGTTCGATGCGGCCACCTAAACCTCCAGCTTTAGGTTCACATATCTCGGTTCCTAGAAAAGATATGAAAAAGTAGTTAACTGACAAAATGTTTATCATAATATCACCGACATTTTATCAGTTCACAGCACTTTGATATCTTCTACAGAAAGCGAGATATGTGGGCTCAAAGATGACGGTGTGGGAGGCTTTCTATTAGAGTGTATTAGGTGAATTAGAGTTTACGATAAAATGAGTGAATCATGAAGATAATAAAAATTCTCAGTTTCAATGAATTCGTATTTTTCCCAATTCCTCTCTTCTGTGATTTTTTTTTGATGTCCTGTAGTTTTTTTTAATTTCCTCGCTGCCCTTTCATCATTTTTCGAAACTTTGTTCGATTTTCGCTCTCCACTTCTCTTGTCAAATTATGATCGCGGGGGTTGCAGAAAGTTCGAGAAAAAATCATAGATAATGCATCGCCAAATTTTTTTGGGACAAAAAAAAAGTTGAGTTCTGATAACAGATTTCCAGGAAACTTTTTGAAATTTTCGAAATGAATGACGGTTGGATTGGAGATAAATGACAAAGATCCCAAAACATTACTTCTCAAAACAGTAAAGTGTGAAATTGTTATTATTTTGCTTTTCGACAAAATTTAAATTTTTTGTTTAGGGTGCAAAATTGTCGAATTGATAAGATAGTGATTGATGGAGACGACTGGAAGATTCTATGAACTTTTTTGTTTTCATGGCGAAAACAAAACTGAAGATTAGCGGGGAAAAAGTGGATCGTGAACTAATAAAAAAAATTATAATTTAAAGTGAAACAGAAAAAAAAGTAAATATGTTAGAAATCTCTCAAAAACGAGGCTCTTCAATTAGAAGTGACCGTTCTATTCTTCCGTCCATCTTTTCCGAAACTTTTCATCAAAAAATCCATGAAAATTCTTCAAAATATCCATGAAAAGTCTTTCCCCAAAATTGGACGAGTTTTTTGAGCGAATGGAGCGTGTTTTTTTCCAAGCCCCTCTCGGAAGGGCCTCTCATTAGAGGGCCCTTCTAATACAAGTATTTCTATTTTAATATCTGATAGTGGTCATGTATTCAATTTTCTAAGTACAGAGTTCCTTGACTTTTATCAATTACCCTAAAATTTCCGTGAAATCAAAATTAGGCATCACCCCACTCAATTCCCTCTCCCCGTCAAGACAATCCGATTCCACTGTCGTCTTATTGGCGTGAAAAACAAGCAGGAATTTCTCCGAAATACTGCACAAACGAGTAGTTTTTCGGAGAAAACGCTGATACTGATAAGAATGGAGGAAGAGAGAGAGAGAGAGAGAGAGAGAGAGAGAGAGAGGAGTTGTTCTTGATTGGAATAATGTCAAACTAACTGAAGATAGTGATGATGGGAAAATGGGGTGCACAAGGGGTCAAAGTTGATAACGAAATGTTGAGGAACATGAAAATCTGAACCGCTTGAGCTAATTGGAACAAATATACCTTGCGTTCGATGAAGTGAAAAAGCACTGAAACTCCAGAATTATCAAATTTCAGAAACATAATAATTAAAAGTCTCAAATTCGGAAGATTCTAAAAGTTTTATTGAACTTTTTGAAAATGTCAAAGATCAATGATCGAAAAGATATTTCACTTCTATTACATACATAGTAATGTATTGAAACTGAAAAATTAAATTGGTCAATTTCAATTAATTTCATCGCATTTTTTTAAACTTTGTACTATTCCGCTGAACAGATATCACATCCCGTTAATATATCTATCATGAATGATGAATGAATAATTATTACAACTAAGTGATAATTACCAAAACTTTGAAGCATGAAAAAACGTAACTTAAAAATTTTTATTTTAAGCCCGATCACAAAACTCTGATATATACCAAAACATCCAAACATGAAAATTTTGAAATAGAAAAAAACTCTTCGATTACTTCACCAACTTCCAAATCCTTATATTTTCTTTCATTCTTCAGTTACTCAGCGATATTTTTTATCATTCCTGACTAATATATCAAACATCAAAACTTTTCCGTCTTCTCGGAAAATTTCCAGAATCGAAAACAACAAAAAGAGTGACGATAATGACACAAAGTTCTAGAATGCACCAATAATCAGAGAATTTTTAAGCGTGAACTTTTAATATCTAACAAACAAGTTTTTATTATATAAATATGGAATGTGAAGGACGTTTGATGAACAGATAGTAAAATTAGTAACTTAAATAGCTCTGGTACTTCATGATGTTTTATTTTTACTCTCATACAAATTTTACTCATTCGTTCACAGTATTTTCGAAGTACTAATGATATATTCAACCAATATTGCTATTGAACTTTTCCCCTTTAATTAGTCAGAAGAAAATAAAAATTATCAGTTTCAAAGAGTTTCCATTAAGTTTTCTGAGAAATCTGTGCTAGTCGTGATGTTGTGACTTATTTCATATCAAAAATTAGATTTGCCTAGTTTCGACCATTTGACCAAAAAGCTTTTTTCAAATACACATACGTCTAGTCCCTGTCAATTACTACAAGTGATTTTACGCTTAAATTTGTGTATAATCTATACAACTCTCTCCGACGAGGAAGTTGCAAAGTTCTATGTGACGCAGTGTGGTCACTCCACACACCGGTCATTTTCACTTGATTTCTTGTCAGTTTTATCAATAATTTGGAGAGATGAAAATTCAGAAAATGATCAATACTGATTTTCATAGATATTCAAAAATCGCGCTCAAATTCATTAGTATTTCTCAAACTTATCAAAATGTTTTTAAACTTCCAAACTTTGTAAACTTCATGAAACAGAAAATTTACTAAAAATCTGACTACCTGAATAACAATTTCCTGATTTCCCTTCGACAAATCCACCGTAACCAATCGTTTGACTTCTGCTCTATCCGAATAAACGATGACTGATTTCGTGGCCAGCTCATGGGCTTCAAATAGATGAGGTGCACAACCCGGCTGTTCGACGATCATTTTTGACTGATGGTCTTCTGAAGAAAAGGTCACCAATTGAAAAAGGATTTTGTGGATGAAAAAAAATAAAAAAGTAGAAACTGTAAAAATTGAGCTGAAAACAAATAACTGTTTCTGACTCTTTTTTGAAGATGGCTAGCTTTAAAAATTGATTTTTGGGAAAATCTAAATTTTTCAAATGAATTCGATGAAAAAGATTTTTTTCAGATATCAAAGAAATTCAAAAAGACAGGGAGAAGAGTTACAGAATTACAGAAATAAACAGACAACAATGGATTAAAATTTCACGGTTGAAGTATACTTTTATAAAGCTGAAATTTGAAAAATATGTACTGAATTGAGAAAGGAAACTATAACTGAACAAAAATCATGGCCATTATCTTGGTCTTAAAATCAAAAAATTAAAAAGTTTAGTGTAAAAAAAGATTTTAAAATAAACCAAACAAAAAATAGATAGGTAATACCAACTAATGAAGTAGAGAGGCACACGTTGTGTGTGTCTGAAAAGTGGGCGGAGCTTGGAATGTTTCTGCGTCTCGTACTCCCTAATTACTCCGATAACAATCAGCCTTGTACTTTGCACGAAACCCTTAGATTTGACCTACTTTTGAGAAATAATAAAAGTTTTAAAGCTCAGTAAATCAATAATAAAAAAGAACCAAGTTAGGAAAAAACGTTATATGAAACAGCATGTTATGTAATTTTAAAATTTTTTCAAACTTTTTCTCTGCCATAAACTTCTAGTCCGTCTTATCAGTAGTTAAGGGTCAGTGTGCAAAAGAGTGGTCATTAAACAAGTTTGACATGGAGAAAAAGTTTAACGGAGGCTTATTTTTTTGAGTGCCTAAAAATATTATTACAGTTTCCCACGGAGCGAAGGGACGAAAAAATTAAAAAGTGAAAGTTGTTGACAAGAAAGAGATACCAAAAAGTTTTTGATTATGATTGGGTGAGGTGATGTGTGTGAGGACTACTGTACCTCGTTTTTATTTTCACATTTTCCTCTCTTTTTTCAGTCTATCGGCCAAAAATCAGACTGTGTGGAACGGGAGAAATGCACGCAGATTGTCAAGTGGAACGCAAAATTGGAAAGGGAGGGTTTTTGATGTTTGAGAGATTGAAATTTGCAAATTTCTTACAGTATCAGAGAATTTTTTTACTGTAACCGAAAATTCGTAAGAACACTTTGGAACTCATTAGGTTAGTGTTTGAGTAATGTTCGGAATGGGTTTTTTAAAGATTTAATGGACACCAAAAGCTCATTTTTCGCAGTATTTTAATTATTTTTCTGTTTTTTTGTCTTGTTCCAAAAGTAAAAAATGAACTTTTCACAAAAATGACAGAAATTTCTGAATCACCGTTTTGCTTCTAATTATTCTGATTTTCCATATTCTAACCCCGATTTTTCTATAACGACCTTTCAAAATTTTCTGTAACAGTAAATTCATGAAAAACAATGCCAAAAAATTATTATGACATTAAAGGGGGACTCCGACCAGAAATTTTTATTGCATTAAAATGTGTTAGAAGTTATCTATTTTCCTAATATTATTGCGAAAAAATTCAAAAAAAATCCGAAATTCCCAAAAAACGCCGTTGAAAAGGAGGAAAATTCAAAAAAGGTGCCGCCGGGGGAAGAGGATTTTCAGTGAAAAACGTAGGCCACGCAGCGGGCGCCTTTCCTATGTGGCAAATTTTCCGGATTTTTTTCAATTTCATGTCCGGCAGGTAAAAAAAGTAAAAAAACCACTGTCGGCGACTTGAAAAAAAGGCTGTCAGGTGCCGTGGCCTAGGTTTCTCACTGAAAATCCTCTTCCCCCGGCGGCACCTTTTTTTGAATTTTCTTCCTTTTCAACGCCGTTTTTCGGGGATTTCGGATTTTCTTTGAATTTTTTCGCAATAATATTCGAAAAATAGATAAATTTTAACACATTTTAATGCAATAAAAATTTTTGGTCGGAGTCCCCCTTTAATTAAATTTATTGCATAATAAAAAAATTGTTTTTATTGAATTCTTTAAAAAATTAATAAAAATGAAAATCCAAAATTTCTAGATTGTAAAAATGAAATTATTTTTTTGAAATTGCTTTTTTAAGATTTAAAATAGGTGTTTTCATAAAAATAACTGAAATTTCTGAATTCCCGTTTTGTCGATTCTCAATATTATTACCCGATTTTTCTGAAAAGATCTTTCAAAATTTTTCTGTAACAGAAAATTCATGAAAGACGCTTCAAAATTATTATGACAGTGGTACAGAAAATTAATAGCCAAAAAAAATATCTAGATAGGAAAATTGGAACTTTTCTGATAAATTTTTTTGGTTTCAAGATGTAAAATTGGACATTTCCTGAAAATATAACTTTTAAACACCTGGAAACTCAGAAGGGCCAGGTCTTCTTTAACTTGCTCTAGAAGTTTCATTAAAATCTGATTTTGCAAGAAATCGAAGTTTGGGGTAATGTGAAATTCTAAAAATCTAGTAATTTTTCAAACATACATTTTTATTTAAGAAATTTAGATACCGTAAAACCTGTATTAGAAGGGCCCCTTTGAAAGAAAGGCTTCCTCTAATTGAAGGGGCACCTGTAATAGAAGGGCCTTCCCGAAGAACTTTGGAACAATAGAATATCCGGCCCTTCTAATAAAGGCTTCACATTATGATCTGATACAAAATTTGAAAAAAAAAACAAATTCTTGAAATAATCTATACATCTGGGATTCAGATTAATTTAAACGAATTTTCGCGAACTTTTAAAAACCATATTGAAACAGAAACTCTTTTTCCTCGTACTAGTCAACAAGTCTATCTACAGTAACTCTAAAAATGTTATCACATATTATTTGCCATTTTCCAATTCCCCTTATAAAATTTGCCTTCTATTCTTTCGCCTTTACAATACGCAACATGCAAGAACCCTCGTTCAGCTCTTTTATGTCCCATTCCGTTTTCCTGATAACAGTTATATCAAAAGTTAAACACTGTGAGAATCACAGAGAAGTAAATAACTGCCGAGCGTTGCAAAAATTTCCAGAGCTCCAGGAGCATACATACACACGTGTGTCTCCCTCACTAACGATCACTAAACAAGATGATGACGCGTCTCGATTCCAGAGGAAGCCCCGGGAGCTCCAGATGGTACCTAGTGGTACGAGAAGAGGCGGAGACAATGTCTTATCAATGGAGTTATTATCAGTGATTGCCTGAGGCAACGAAACGCGACGAGAAGGAGGAGGGGTGGCAGTGGAGACGGAGGGTTTAGGTTGCTTCGGAGAGGATTAGTGAGAATAGGTTTTTGAAGTAATAATAAGTTGTTTATGACTTGGCAAGGGTCAGAGAATCATGGAAGTTGAGGTTGCATCTAACAAAACTTGTTTATCGGAAAACCTGTTTTAGAAGGGCAGGACCTTCATTTTGGAAAGGCCCTTCTAATATTGGTTTTATGGTTTGTTTTACAATGTATTGCCAAGAAATTGACGACATGGTAAGATTTCTGACAGGATAATGAGATTTAGCTGCTCTTGGGAAGGACAAAAGCAAATTAAAAACAATTTACACATTTTTGCAGAGTTCAGGCAAAACACACCTGCCTGAAAGATAACTAACCTCTATGGAAAATTTAACATTCATGACGATTACTGTACTTCCTCTAAAATTCGACCCAAACCGTCACTTTGAGCTCAATTATCTCGGTTTCTGTCAAAGATATCTAAATTTTGTCAACTATCAAATTATTTATCATGATATCAACAATACTTTATCAACAATACTTATTCGACATTTTTGCCTTTCTCAATTTTTTTGTCGGGGCTTGGTATTCCTGCAGAACAATTGAAAAACTTTTTGTACCTGGAACAACATGTTGTTCTAGTCCTTGACCTACTTTCAATGTATTTTCAGATTTTCAGCTACCGATAAACAAAAAGGACGGGGAAGGGGGTATTTATATAGTGTTTCGTCGACAGAAATTTATATTGTTTTAGTGATATCAGAATCTTATTATCAAATAGAACGAAAAATGATGGGAAAACAACTGATTCAGCAAAAAAATTAGGAGGAAACGCAGCAATGGAAAAACGGAAAGCCAAATATTTTTGACGGGATTTTTGAGAATCTGAAGAAAAGACTGGGCATTTGAAAAATTCTAAAACTTTGTTTCAGGTACAAAGTAAGATTCTCAGCTGATTATAAAAAACAGTTTGAGCTTTATTTTAGCATCTATCTTAAACCTATTTCTAGCATTTCCAAAATATTTATCCTCGAAAAATTTCCGTTTCCGTTTTTCTATATAAAAATTGAAATTTTCAATACGTTGGCTTTTTGGCTGGTCTCATACCGTTTAGTACTGGATATGAGATCATTCAAGAAGCCCAAAAAAGAGTTCATTTCATTCGAAACATGCTATTTTTTTTTGTTTCGAATAGTTTGAAGTTAAAAAATGGCGGATGATTGAGAATTTTCACTAAACAGTAAACCTCGAAAATTTTCTGTTCCAATTTTTTTGTTAAAGGACGAAATTATTTTCTGAATTCGGTTCATTAGAAAATCTCCAGTGATAAGTCTCAGTATTAAATGTCTTATGAGCCTAAAATGTCAGACTCCATAAAATTTTTCGTAGCATTTCCTTTGAAACTTTAAATTTGAAACTATTGAAAATTTGAGACTTTTTAAAATTAAAATTTTCAGTTTCAGATTGTTCTTTTATGCGTTACTAACATTTGAATATTATGCTTGTCTGAGAAAAAAAAGGTTAGAGAGTATTTTTTGCAGTCTAAATACGGTAGCGATATCGAAGCGGAGAGCCTAAATAGCACACATAAGGAGGAGACGCAGACACTTTTTCTCTGCGTCTCAACCTTTTTTTTCTAAGACAAGCATAATAGCAATGTGAATCTCTCACTATCAGACCACATTTTAATGTAATTTTTAAAAAATCGCTTCCAATTTTTCCATATAAAATTCCAAAATATTCCAAAAATTTGCCTTATGCTGGTCTCATAC